TTCCCGAAGGCTCTCAATCCCAGGAACACTTCTGAAAGGATTCCTACGTTGGTCTCAAATTATACTGAATGGCAGAGAAAAGCTGTTCCAATTTTAAAATCCTGTGACACTTATACACCTCTACCTCTTGTTGCTTTCATAATTATATCTGTCCAATACTTCAAAAGATTATTCCCCAGATATATCTTTCCCACCTGAAGGGCTTAGCAGAGATTCTGCTGGATAAAATGTGCAGTAGGATAATAGGGAAGGAAACAATAAGAAACCCAAATGGAAAGATCTGAAGGATTTCCACACTGGACACCTTTCAACAGCCTGAATTTCCACATCTCAAATCTATTTAAAATCTGGATCACTCAGTGTGATTCAAAATGCCCTAATCTAAAATTCCATTTTTATATGAATCCACTCAAATTCATAAATACAATTCCTTTCTCTTCCTTTTCTTTTCAAGGAGGGGGTCTCACTATGTACTTCAGGCTGACTCTGAACCCGCTATGTAGCCCAGACTGGCCTCCACCTCATGACGGTTCTCCTGCCTCAGTCTCTCTAGTACGTGCCACCAGGCCCATCCTTCCTTTCTCTTCCTAGCCAACCAAACATTTCAATGCTATTCTCTTCACCCAGACAAAGAAAGTATAAAAATATTTCTACAAAATGTACCTCAAAGCCAAGTACGGTGGCACATACCTGTTAATATCAGCCCTCTGGGAAACAAGATCAGGAGGATCACAAGTTTGACCCCAGCCGGGGCAACACAACAACTTAGAATGACCCTGTCTCAAAAATTTAAAATAAAGGGCTGGGGATTTAGCTCAGTGGTTCTGCCACCTGCCTTGCAAGCGGAGGGTCCCAAGTTCGATCCCCAGTACCAAAAAAAAAAAAAAAAAATTAAAAATAAAAAATGGATGGGAACATAGCTTAGTGCAAGGCTCTGGGTTTGATTTGTGGAGGCAGGGGGGTGTCTCACAATCCCTTCACAAAGATATTTTCTCAAAGATCACACAAAAAAATGAACAAAAATAAGTCAGTCCATCATTTATTGCCCTGCTCTATGAATTTCCTCAAAGTATGGCCTGATTTTCAGGCCTGATTCCCCCCGTCCCTGCACATGCAGGGTATATGTTTCCATAGAGTATCAGAGATGAATCACATTTCACTTTTCAATTCAGACATTTTAATCTTTCTTTTCTTGAATGTTTTTCTTCTCGGAGTTAGGGTATGATCACAATTTCCTCAACTTAGATAAAGTTTTGCTCAAATAAAATAGACTTTATGGGCTGAGGATTTAGCTCAGTGGTATCACTGCCTGCCCTGCAAGCTCAAGGTCCCAAGTTCAATCCCCAGTACCAAAAAAAAAAAAAATTAAAATAAACTTTATAATTTAATTAGGCCATTCTAAACTTTCTTATGAGCGGTGATACTCAGCCTCTCAAATTACATAAAACCTCCCTCCCTCCTCATGTTACTCCAAGGATCAGAAGCACATGTGAATTCTGTGAAATATAAACCTGCTTACACGCTGAACAAAGCCAAATACTTTTAAGACTATCTCCAATAGCCTTCAATTAAATAATAACAGATAATATTGTCTATCATTTTGTTGCCCAGGTAATGATCCTACCATGAACCCAAAGTTACCTTCACAAATATATATGAATGGGTGCCTTCTTTCCTTCCTCCCCCCTCTCTCCTGTATTTCTTCCTCAACTCAGACTAAAACTAACCATTACAAATCCACTCATGGAACTTAACCATGGAACTGGGTTTGTTTCACAAGAATGCTTTCATTCCACAGGCATGGGAATCCCTTGGTACCGTGGGTCTCTCTGAAGCGCTCCAGGTTAATGGGAACAGACTCAACCTCACAGTTCTGCTTTTCCACTTCTGCCCCACGGAGCCAGGTATCCAGCATCTCATCTTCTACCTACATCATGCAGGTGAATCGTTCAGACTGGCTGGTGCCTGGATATCACATGTCCCTTGCTAAATAGCCTACAATAGTGTCCCATTGAGAAGCAAATTCTATAACCTAGTTATAACTCAAAACATGCTATATGAAACGCGCATTTCTCAGTAATTTGGTAATTCTTTTAAGCAATTTAGAACCTGAGGTCACTTATGTTATCTAAAGATCTTCATCCATAGTTTAGGTATAAAAGTTTGCAATACAAATTAGAAAATATCCAAAGAACAAGGGTAAGATTTAATTGAGGCTCAGAAAATGGTGTCAGGGAAATTCCTCTTTCAAATTGTTCTTTGACAACTAGGATACATTACGTAAAGGTACAAGATCCCAATGATGAATGTAACTGCATTTTATACCTAAAATGTACCAATAAACTTAATGATAAATTTTTTTAAAAAGTAAATTGGATCATGTCTAAAATGGAAAATAATATGGAGTGATTAAAAATCAGACTTTGGAATCAAATTCTGTGATATGAAGGGCATTTTCTAATACATCAGGGGGCTTTTTGTAAAATAATATGCACATTATTTCTGTTGTATACATAGAAATAAGTTTGGAATTAAAAGTGCAATAATTGGGTCTGGGGATTAGCTCAGTGGTTCTGCCGACTGCCTCACAAGCAGAAGGACCCGAGTTTGATCCCCGGTACCAAATAAATAAATAAAAGTGCAATAATGGTAGTAATAATGTTAGTTTTTTGGTGTGATGATAGTAATGATACTTTTTCTTACCCTACTTTGTTTTTGTTTGTCTGCTTTGATGCATTATAATAAATGTGCTTTACTTCTGTAAAAAATTTTTTAAAATTTGTTCTTTAGGCCGGGGATTTAGGTCAGTGGTTCCAGAGCCTGCCTCGCAAGCGCAAGGTCCCAAGTTCGATCCCCGGTAGCAAAAACAAAAACAAACAAACAAAAAAATAAAGTAAAAATTGTTCTTTGAAGTGTGACAGAGAGGGTAGCAGTATACTAAAAAGAAAACTGTCCTCCAACTCAAAACCTAGCTGCTCACCAGCTGTGTGGCTCCAAGAAAGTCAATCAGTTTTCCTGAACCACACTTTCTGCATTCATCAAGGATACATCAATGATACAATGTGCTTCTGAGGAGAAGGGAGATAATGTATGCTGGAGTACCAGAAAGCTAGAGCATGATGTATAAGTCAGGAAGCTCCTGATAATACTACAAGTGCTCGAACAGGTATGAAGGAGAACAGAGGAGGCGGCGACTAGCTAAGCCTAACAGAGTAGAGTTTACAGAGGGGTGGAATCTGGTTGTCATTGGATGGGTGAAGGACGGGAGAAGGATGGGTCATCCATCTACTGGTGTTGGTGGAGGAGCTGGGGGTCTTCGGATGAGCACACATGGACCCACAGCAGAATGGGCTGGAACTCAGGGTGCCTAGCAGTGTGGTGAGAGATGAGAAAAGCAAGCGCCAGGTCACAAAGAGCCTGTGAGCTGCAGCAAGAGGCTCAGACCTCATCCCAGGTGTGGTGGGAAGCCACCGAGATGACTGCCAAACAAAACCCAGCAAAAACAAGACTTCCAGTTTGTAAGCTGTTCCTGTACGCCAAGAGGTTGCTACTCCAGCTGGGTCCTCCTGGAGGACGATTTAGAAAGAAAGATTTGGACTGTAAATACACAAAAGGAAGCTACAGTATGATGACGGAGTCCCTGCTCGGTGATAGGCACTGTGTGAGGTCTGCTGTGTTGTGTCACTGTCTGTCCCAAACCTGGCTTTGAAGGGACAGCATCACCTATGTTACACACACAAGGAAAGGGAGGGTTCCTAAGATAGAGCCTCTAGCCTAAATGCAAGGAATTACTAAGACGTAGAACCAGCTGTAGAGATTAGATTTGCTGAATATTTATTGTAGCCAAAACTTCAAAGAAAAATAGACACACTGATTTTTTTCACTTACGTGAAAATTCAACTACTTGTGAATATTGTATTTTTTAAATATACATAGTGAAAATTTTTTCTTAGGTTTCTTTTTTTTTTTTTGGTACAGGGGATCGAACTCGGGACCTTGCGCTTGCGAGGCAGGCACTGGAACCACTGAGCTAAATCCCCAGCCCCTAAGTATTTCTTAATACAAGTTGCAATATTTATTTTTATTTTATTTTATTTATTTTATTTTATTGGTACCGGGGATCAAACTCAGGTCTTTGCGCTTGTGCAGGAGGCGGCAAAACCACTGAGCTAAACCCCCAGCAATATTTATTTTTAAAACCCAGATATTATCCAGGCTAAGGGTTTCCATCTTAATCCCAAAGTCAAGCAGTTAATTATTCAAAACACATTTTTAATCAAAAAGAATCAGAAAGTCACTTTAAAATCTTTATCATGAGTCAAAAATCTATAGCTCCTAAGTAAGATCCTAAATGTTGCATAATACTGTCCTTTTAAGTAATCTAAAGAGACTACTTTAATAGACACAGTTTCACAAATATCTTCAAAGACCATAGCCTTATTTTCTCTACACTAGCTAACTTTTCTCAACTCCAAGATTTATTTTAGCAACACAGGTAGAAGAAAGTCTAGTGGCTAATAAATTTTCAAACTATAACACGAATATTGCTAAACTCCCTAAGAAACACTCAAAACAAAACAGATATTACTTACAGGTGTACATACATGATTCCTAGTCATTAAAATATCATTCCTTTATAATATTACAACTGTTCCTCCAGATTAGGGCAAAATACAGATGTGCAGTCAAGAGAGACATACAGAAAGATACAAAAGTGCAAACAGTGCCAAGCAAATCTGTTTGTAACTATTTAATTTTCCCCTGCAAATTCATATTCAGAAACTAGAGATAACAATTCCTTTCAGACATTTCTTACTTTCTTAGATGAGAGCACAGAGCAACTGAGATATTTAAAGAACGATATACTGAAAGATTTCTATAGTGGAAACACAGACCTATTTTGAAAACTGTACAAGAGGCAGAAACTGAGAGGACTGGCAAAGAGAGGAAGGTAGGCCTGCCACCATGCCTGTGTCTGTGGCCAGCCCCATCTTAATCACCTTGCAGTGAGATATGGAGATCGTCGATGCCCAAGGAAACCTGTCTGTCTTCAGCAGGAATCACAGGACCCGATGCCATGCTCTCGTCACTGTAGGTTATATCATGTCCATCTCAGATACAGAAGTCAACTGAAAAGGAAAAAGCATAAACGCACATTAGAGACTCCAGCTCTCCATTTCCATAAAGATGCATCGCCAGAAAAGAGCAGCAACCGAAAACTGCCCCCACCACAAAATCTGGCTTTCTGGCCAGTGTTTCCTCAGATCTTGAAGAACAAAGTAACTACGCCTTCTTTTTGAATCATAATCAAGAGTTTTCCCTGTGACCTATTCATTTTGCCCTGTGACCTATGGAGCTGCGGGCAGGATGCCAAGGGAACAGGCACTGTGGATCCCATACTAGCTGTGAAAGCCAAGCCGAGCACTGAAGTTCAGCAGCTGGTCCAGAGGAAGTAAAGTATCTTAAGCGTTTCTGTAGACAAGAATTTTCTTTAAAACATTTTATTTAACTGAGTTCCTTTTCTGCTTTGTAACTGTTACCATTTACTGGAAATAATAAGAGCTGAGCCCACACAGCTTACAAAGTGAAACTTACAACAAATACAGTATATCAGAATATTCTGAGGAGCTATGTATTATACTACTTTCCCAAGGACTTAGTTTTCCACCTACCTACACATTCTCCCCCTAGCTCCACTTTGAGCTTTATTTTCCAGTGCTGGCTATGGAACCCTGGGCCTCATGCATGCCTTAGCATGTGCTCTCCCACTGAGCTACCCCTCTATCTAAACCCTTTACTTCAGAGTCCTAAGGAATCCTTTTGATAAAAACAATTCTTACTCCACAACTCATTTTGGGGGCGGGGGGTTGCTGGGATCAAACTCGAGACCTTGCACTTGCAAGGTAGGTGTGGCACCACTGAGCTAAATCCCCAGCCCCTGCACAACTCTGTAAAAGAACTGCTTCATTTGTGGGGCCCAGTAGTAATTTCTGGGGGCTCAAAGTAAAACGGTGCCTTCTCCCATAGACCTAACTAAATAACAGAATAAATCATAAATAAAATCTAAAGTACATGCAGGACTGGGGATGTAGCTCAGCAGTGGAGTGCTTGACTAGCATGCCCAAGGTCCTCGGTTCCAACATCAGCACCATCAGAAGAAAACAAAATAAAAATTTTAAATGCATGTACAGCTTTGTGATCAAGCAAGTATTACAAACAGAATCTATTGCTGGGGCTGAGGATGCAGCTCAGTGATAGAGCACTTGCCTAGCATGGAAGAGGCCCTGAGTTTGATCCCAACACTAAGCGCCCCCAGCAAAAAAAAAAA